AAACAGATAAGCAAATTACGGCATATCTATGTGCTAAAACGCTATGGTGCCTTTGCAATGATAATTATGAAGTATTTTCTGTGACCTTGGAAACAGTTCTATGATACAGTAAGTAAAACACACACACACACACACTATATGCTCAACCATGCTTAAAAAAATAAGTGAAAAAAACGTCAATGGAAAAAATATTCCTGTGTGTTAAACATGTCTGCCCCTGGGCAGTGGAATGATGAGTGATATTTTTTCCTTGCTTCCCAGTTATCTATTGAATTCAATAAGTGTGCCTTTTTAAAATAATTGAGCATTTGATGGGGGCAGTGAAGTGGATTTAGCAGTGGTACAAAAATATCTAACTAAAATGACACACTGATTCTAACAGATTGTGATGATTTTGGAAGCATGTGGTTTTTCATGCCACTTTATTGTATCTTTTTGAGTAATGCCAGGAGTTAGAGTTACTTTACTTACAAAACCCCACAACCATTTATCTTGGACTTTATTTTTCCAAGTGCTTAAGATACTTCTCAGAGGATAGCTTGGGATACTGAAACATATTTCCTTGTTCAGAAGCAACATTTTATAGCACTAATGCACTCTTCTACTTTGAAATATCTACAAAACCCTGATCAAAGACAATTTTCCTTCATTTGTTATTTTTGCTTCATATATTATTAAAGGAGAGGCCCATAAAGCTTTGAAAACATATTTCATGCCACAATAGCTTGCAGCTTCTTTTCCTCAGAGGCCAAGGTTATTCCCATGGTGTAGGCAGGCAACAGATCTTTGGCCACAGTTCTTGCAACTTCTGTCATTTTAAGACAAACCACTAATTGCTGAGGAATTCACTGGGAGCTAAAAAAAACTTTTCTTCATAGTGTACTCCTTGAGATCTCGAGCAGATTTCTCTTGTTCTCAGACCCTGACTTCTCATTATCCACGAGAGTTCTCCTTCCCGACCCTCCATGTGAATGTACTCTAAAGCAAAACTGCATTTGAAGACAGAATGTTCTAGTGGGTTTGGAGCTACAGCAAGGCAGCAATGTTGGCTCAGAGCTGTGGACACATGTCCGGAACTGCTGTTTGTAAATGTGATAGCAATTTTGCTAAAAATAAGGACTTTCTTTGCAATTTATAGAGGTATGGATAGAGGAGAAACTGGAGCTGCCCTTTGTTATTCGCCTGCCCTTTCATTTCCTGCTGTGTGCTGATGTTTCAAAGCCTCCCCATGAATTAAAGTTCCAGTGAGATTTGCCATAGTGGTTTCTTGGGAATGTCCATAAATATTTTTTCCTTTTGTTTTTGTTCTCAGCAGAAAGTGTTGCTTGTGATTATCCTGTTTCTAAATTATATCTCTTTTTGAGATCGGAAAATATAAGCTTCTGTGTTTTTCAAGAAGCAAACAATTTTTTTTCTTGCCCAGCTCAGGACTGAGGGGTTTTACCTTAGAAACACGATGCTAGAGTTTTCAATGACTCATTCGACACGAAGGTGACAGTGAACTCACTGATGCTTTCCCAGCTTAAGTAAACTTTTCTTACATTTTTCCTGTGAGTGACCATTGTTTTAGCAGGTTAATTATTTGACCACACAGAGCAGTCACTGTTCCCTGTGTTCAGTGCTTGAATAAATACAGCCCTTCCTTATGCTGGGACACCCAGCTCCAGGCTTCAGCAACATTTACCAATTTGCTCAGAAACTTTCATCCAGCCAGGGACTTAACAAGTTTGGTAACATTTAAGCAACTTTAAAGAGGAAAAAAAAAAGAATCGTGCAATTCAAAGAGGATCCCCTGAAGCACAACCCTTGCTGGACTCTGGGTCACAAAACACTGTGTATGTTACTCCTCGAGCCTTTGCAATATTAACTGTGGTGAACAGCACCTCTTCTGCTTTTTTCTCCCCCCAGAACAAAAGGATTCCATTAAGGCAAACACACGCACAGGAAAATAAAGGAGGAATGCAAGGGCATTTCCAAGTTCAATTCCTTTCCATGGACTGCATTTTCTATTTCCTTGGGAATATTGAGGAATGTGGGTGGTTGTTGGCTAATCTTGGTATTTGACAGCCCTCCTCAGGTTTGGCCACATAGAACTGAGCAGGAGGCTTCAGATGTACTAACCATGTGATAAACTTATTGATGGGAATTATAGCTAAAGTTTATTGAGTGAGTACTTATTTGCCACCTGCAATGCATATTATACCTTTATCAACTTTAAATCTCATCACTGATGGAAAAGGTAGATATTATCGTTATTCTTGTTCTGATGAAGTTGAAGGAGTTGGCCAAGGTTACGCAGCCCAAGAGGGGCAGAGGTGGGGATTTAGTGCAGGCTACTCTGGGTACCAGTTGGCTTTTCCCCTATTATTTTGAATTCAACTTCAAAAGTACTCACAGCTGTCAGCTCTTCCTATTACTTCCACGTGCTTCCCATGGGCAGGAGAGTGGGTTTATGAATCCCAGGTGCCCACTGAAACAGCGCACAACCACCTCAGCAGGACACAGGACGTCTAACAGGGGCACTAGAGTCCTATGTGTTTACAGTTTCCGCAACAAGCACTCTATTCTAAGTTATTCGGACTTAAATTGATAAAAAGTAGCAAAATGTAAATTTTAATAAAGTTACTTTCCCAGGGACTATAAGGTGATTGCTAACATCTATTTGCTTTAATAGCATTTAGAAGTTCATACCAGTTTAAGAAGCATTACATTTTATACATTTTTTATTATTACATATTTTTTTGAAGTAGTAAATGCAATTTTTTAAAAGCCCACAAAAACAAAAAAATAAAACAGAACTTAAAGATTTACTTAGGAATAGCTATTGCTAGCAGGGCAGTGTCTCTTTGGCTTAATATACCATAAATATATTGTTGCCATAAAGTATTATAGCCTTATGTTTAATGAGTACACAACATCATAATATGGGTAGAGCATTTTTTATTTAGCCAAACTCTTATTTTTGGACATTTAAGTTTTAAAAAATATTTGCTATGAAAACAATGAAACAATTATAATTGAAGGCAAATCTTTGTGTACATCCATATTTATGTCTTCAAAATAATTTCATAACAGTAGACTTTTGAGGTTAAAGAATATGTAAAATATTAGTTTATTTTTCCTTCTGGAAAATCTTACTAATATTTTAAGGTCTAACAGTTAACTGAAAGTGCCTGTCACTCTACCCTTGCCAACATTGGGTATTATCAATTTTCAATTAATGACCAATTTAATAGAAGAAAAGTAATATTTTTTCTAGTTTTCATTTTATTTATCACTTTGAGGCCAAGCATCTTTTCATTGTTAATCAGCCATTTGTATTTCTCCTTTTATTACATTTTGAGAAGCAAGATTTCAAAAAAGAATTGGTTCAGTCTAAGCAATACCAAATATCCTAAAAATGTATTAACAAAAAAAGCTTTAAATTAATTTTTTTCCTGTGGCCCTGTTACCTTAAAGAGTCAGTTGGAGCAGCAGGGGATCTCTGTTCATTGGTCAAGATGACAGCAGAGGGAGGGTCTTACAGTGAGGGTACCTTGTCAAAAGGTGAATGGATAGGGCCCCAAGCCTGCCAAAAGGCGGAGAGATCATTGGATTAGGAAAAAGGCCCTCTCCTTTGTATCCCTGTAAGAACTTCAGGTGTGAACAGGAGGTTGAGATGGACTTTCAGATGGGAGACCACCATTCTCCCAGGTTTTACAGCACCTGAATAAACCTCTTTTCTTTTTGTACCAACACCTGCCTTGCAAGTTTAGTTTTTTGTTGCTCCAGGCAGCCAAACCCCAGTTTTTATAACAGTCCTCCTTGTTTATTTGGATACCACAGCTATAGAATTGGGGGGTGAAGGGTACCTTAATGTTTGACAATGAGATGTGGATTTGGTCAGCCGGGTGGGGCTTTCATGCTCTGAGTGGACGTGCACATGGTAGGCACTAAATGAACATCTGAAGAAATGTGCATGTGAATGACAATAAGACTCAGAGTAGACCTTTTTCTGACCTGATGCAAAACCAAAATGCTGAGTCACCAGGTTATTTGTGGCTACAAAAATATTATTGGCAAATGTCCTCGGCTATCAAATTCAGTTCCATCTGTAATTGAATTAGAGACCCGCATTCTTTTCTCCAAGGAAATTGGTGTACCAGACCCTGCCTTTGATACTGGATAGTATTAAACAAGATTTCAGCTAATGAACAAAGTTTCTACTTAAAAAAAAATGTCAGGGAAAAATATGTCAAGAGTCATAAGCATGAAAGAGTAGTAATATCATTATTTTCTATCTAACTAACTTAATAACTGGACAAACAATGAGAAAATTTCTGCCAAGCAAATACAAATGTTCTGTCCTGAGAGATTGAGTTAAAGATTTATGGAATCTTAAAGGGTCCAAAACAAATGCAAAAGGCATATTTTAGATGGGGGCAGTTATAGGTAGAAGAAAATCCTATGCAAACATGCATATGTTTTATGTCAAAAAGGAAAGAACCTATTTTTAAATGGCCAATATAACACCAGCTATTATTCCCCATGAGTAGTTGATGAATTTTCTAGAATTAGAAAATTGCCATTTGCAACTGGAACATGCACTTCCGGTCCCTTCCCCAACCCTGGACGCTCACTTGCACACACACAGGTAGGCCAGGATCTCAGTTCCCCTATGTGAAGAGCAGGACCAATAAAATGGCATTGGTTCATTAAGGCAGCATAAATATACAAAACAAAGTGGAGTCACTCATGTCAGTCAAAATGGCTGTCAATCAGCCATGACACTTTGGTTCAAGAAGGAAACTACCTAATTCAGAGCAAACACATCTGACAAAGAGACACACTTAAGATATTTGCCCATGTGGTCAAAGCAGCAATGTCTGCAGAGTGGGACCACCCATAGATAGGCTGCTGGGCAAATTCCACGCTTGCCATCCGGGTGCCAAAATATTTATCAGCAAGACCCAGAAGGGTGGAGTAGACAACTTTCAAAGTATAACTGAGGCAGGCTCCAGGCCACTGCTGAGACAGCCGAGTTCCACACACCAGAGTACTGCTCTACACAAAGCTGATAGCCCTTGCATTGGCTGATGGAGGCTCTGCCCTGCTGGACTGAGAACTTTGTCTGTCCTGTTGCCCACCTGGCTCCAGAGATCCTTCCTTACAAGATGCTGACAACTCCCTTGCCCACTGTGCTGTCTCCTGGACCTGCAGACTGAGACTCTGGGACTCGGGTTTGTTATCCCCCATTGATTGCTATGTGTTTTATATTTCTCTTAGATTGTTAGAGTATGAGTGGAATATTAAGATATGTTGGTGTTCTACTTTGAGGCATCCTGCGCTTAATAAAAACCTAGTAAATAGCATAGTTACTGTGTGTGACTCTTGTCTATTCCTTGATGCTGGGCTGCTCAGCAGGCAGCTGGCCAAACAGTTGTCTGGCTGACTTACAGGAAAGACTACATCACGAACACATGCTCATGACACTCCAGCCTGGATTCCTCAAGGTAACCAACTTTGCATGTCCCACCTCCCACACCAAATGTGGCACAGAGAAGGTGCTCATCAAACGTGAATCATGGAGTGGAAGAACATTTCTGCCCAGGCTTGCCAGAACAAAGCATTCAGGTAGGTGATCCTGGCCTTATCGTTTCTACTGTCTGAAGACTGAGGCTGTTAGACATGAGGCTTATTCCAGATTGTATGGTACTGACAAAGCCGTAACCTGAATTCAGATATCCCGTTCCTAGAATTATTTCTTTCAACTGCAAAAGAAAACCAGCTTATACATTTTCAGCCTCTGTTTAACATTATCAAAGTGAGTTTATTAATATATAAGTGTTATTTTCAAGTCTATATTTATTTTTTCCTTGTCTCATTCCCCAAATAATTCAAAGCAACCTAAGAGAATGAGAGAATGGGAAAAGATCACATCCTGAGAAATACTAGAAGCACCAGAGCTAGCATGCAGTGAGCTCTCTGTCCCAGGCAGGGCTCACGGCATTTAGCTCCCAGAAGGCACCAGACTGAGTCTGTGCCTTCTCTGTGCCAGACTCAGTGTGGGCTCATTGTTCTCAGAGCTATACATAGGTCAGCTGACTCAACACACACAATGACCCTGTGAGGTAAGTACTGCCATTGTCTCCATTGTACAATCACAGGAAACGAACCACAGAGAATTCCAGTAACATTCTCAGGTTGGGATATGAACTGTGTTCTGCCTCCTCTATATTCTCAGGATCTGTACTTCTCCAACCTCTCTCCAGATCCATTCCCTGGGAAATTATGAATGTACCTTCACACTGGTCCTAAGACCCAATCTGTAGCTCCCTCTCTTGGACTTATTATTATGCTTCCACTTTGGTAAATAAGTATTTATTAAGACCAGCATTTGTAAGAATTTTTTAGTTGTTCTCAGGAGGAGGTGAAATCCCTATTAAACCCGGGCTTAAATTGTGAGCTCCCTTATTTACAAGTTGTGTGAGCTCGGGCAAGGCACCTATCTTCTTCGTGTCTCAGTTTCCCCATCTGTCAATTTCAGGCAATATTAGTAACTAACATCTGTTTTGTGCGAGTGTGAAATCTAACCATAAATGAAAAGAACTTAGCATAGTACCTGGCACATAGTAATAACCAGTGTTAGCTATTATTATTATAAAAGAGTATAACACAATCAGATCTTTACTTTTAGGTCCCAGTGTGGCCACATTCTCAGAAGAGAATCTGAATCATCAGGGCTAAGAATATATAATCAGGCCTAAATAATAATCACTAACTGTTTTCAGCTTAGTGTTCACTAAACCCTAGCTTTTGGTTCAATGGCCTGACCTACATTTGATAATTCTAGTTCACCCAGATGCAGGTATCATGTGTTTTAAATTTTTATACCTACTTGTTTTCTAGGTCAGTATATTGTTTTTTAAATTGAGAAGCGTAATGCTAATCACAGAAATGAGAAATCATAGACATGTATAAAGGGAAAAAATCACTCATAACCTTGTCTTCTAACAACGGTGAGAATTGAATAAATCATAATTCTTGGTGGTGGCTCTCGTCATTGGTCACTCACGAACATCTTTTATTTTGTTTACTCATCATTATACAGCATAATGACCTTCTGCCCTGCTCGGCAGTGTTGCCGGTAACTGACTTGTATCCGTTTGTTTTTCCCCTGTGCACCCTGTGCCTTCCCGCCAGTGAGAACTGTTGTCGTCCCAAATTTTGTGTTCATCACCCATCCTTTTCTCCATTTGATCATGCACACACACACAGACACACATGCACAAGTATGTTGTCTAAATAGTACAATATTTAGTTTGGTTTGTTTTGATGTATTTAATGATAGAATATTAAGATTCATTTATGTTGGCTCACTTATATCACTGAAATTTATTCATTTAAAAACTTTTACCATGTACCTGTACCACGATTTATTTATCCTTTCACTTGTTAATGGGAATTTGGGGAATATATATATTTTTAGTCTTTTTTTTAAAAAAATAAGTATTTTCCAATGTTAAGATCAAATATAAAACACAATTTTGCTTCTGCCTTCTGCTTGCCTTTATGCTTTTCATTATATTTAACAATTTTCTTCTTTTATTAAGAATTTTAAAAATAACATCAACATTCAGTGGATATATCATATTTTACTTACTGACTTTGCTAAGGAGATCTCCAATAGATTCTGAATATCTGCCCAACTTTTGAAAATCAACCAACAAGAAAATAATGCCATTGGAGGCACAAAATAACAATTACTGAGCCTTGATTCAGTAAACATGTAGTTAGGGCTCTTCTAAGCAAAGAGAAATATTAAATAAAGGAATGCACTTGCAGGTCAGAAGATTTTGGGCAAAACGTGGGCGTCCAGACGTGTGCACAGTCCAGCAGAAGAACACACCTCTCCTGCTTGGGACCACTTTCCTTCTCCAATGTCATTCGTTGTCTGCTCAAAAGGGAGCGTGGGAAGTATGTGTTTGCTATATGTCCCGTCTACCGCCCTTCTCCTTCCTTACTAATGCAACCCAGAAAGTAGGCTGCCAAGTCCTTCAGGAGGGGCTAGCCCTCCCATTGTCCAGGATGTGAATCATGTTTCCATTCCCCTTCTCTGACTGGTTCAGAAATAAGTGAGTCATTCAATTCTTGCTAATGCCACCAGATATAAAGTCAGCTTGGAGATTTCTGGGGAAATATATCTGGAACTTAAAAAGGGACACATGAAAGAGTAATTGGGTCTTCCACGGTTTGGACATTAATGTTTAAGGATAGAGACCATTTTTGAACATGAGTGAGCCAAACCTCCATGCTGAGAATGTCGGAGCAGGAATTTGGGTAAAACCTGCATCTCTGATAATGTCTTTGACCTGTTGAAATATTGTGTTTTGCTGTATATGATGCACACCCACTGTTCTGTAAACATTATACATGGGATTATTATACCCATGATATGTAATCATTATACCCATGTATAATGTGAATCCTTATTTTTCCCTCAAAAATTTGGACAAAAAAGTGTGCATTATACATGGCAAAACAAAATATAGTAGCCAACCTAGAACATTTAGATCCTGTTATCTGTCTTTAACGTGAAGTAATGGAATCCTTAACCATTTAAGCCATTTCGAGATGAAGCTTTTGTTGCTTGCAGCAGAAACATCCAAACTAACACAAAAAGGTTGGGGACGTGTCTTACTCGATCACCAAAAAACATTAGTTACTTATTGCTGGGGCAACAAATTTTCACAAGTTTGGCTTAAAACAAGACAAATTTATTTTCTTATAGCTCTGGAGGTCAGAAGTCTAAATTCAAGCTCTTGACAGGGCTGAGTTCCTTCTGGAGGTTCAGGGGAGGATCAGTTTGCTTGTTTTTTATCTTCCATGATGGGCTGAACTCTTTCATTTGTGGGCTCGTCCTCCCATGCTACAACCTCTTACCTCCATCAGTACACCTCCCACTACTGACTCAGATCTTCTTCCGTCCTATAAGAGCATTGGACCTCCATGGATAGTCCAGGATAATCTCCCTACCTCCACATTTCTATCTTAATTGCATCTGCAAAGTCCCTTTTGCCATATAAGGATAACTAGTCACAGGCCCCAGGGATTGGTAATGGACCTTTCTGGGGGTAGGGAGGATCATTATTCAATTTACCATGTCATGTAAACTGAACCATCCTCAGAGACAAAAAGGATGACAGCGGCTCTTGCAGTTGGAGCACCCATGCACACTTGTAGGGGAAGGAGTGGGACAAAGACGTTGCTGATCTGCAGCTATTGTCCCACTTGTATCACTGGTCTCAGCCATAATCTTTCTCTTTGCAAGTAATTGTCTCTTCATTTTTACCTGCAGCCTTAATTTTGCTCTAATGATCAAGCCTTCTTGCCTCATCTCCATAATGGCATTTGACATTCACATTGAATTTTCACTCTGTGCACTATTTTGAGCTTTATCTGCTCTAACTTAATTATTGAAAAACCCTGAAATTGTTACTACTGCTATACCCATTTAACAGATGAGCAAATTCAATTGCAATGGTCTCAAGTAACACAGCTTATCATGAGTGCTGATTTTCTCTGCTTATATAGGAGCTAATAGCCTGTGGCTTTGAGACACTCCTCCAGAAATTGAAAGTAAATTCAGGTTCTTATTGAAGACCAATGAGGATGCGTTTAGTTGCAATTTCCACCAGACCCAATGGGGTTTAAACAATAAGGGGTTTCTTCTTCTCCCAATGAAGTCCAGAGGGAGGGCTGTGGGCGGGTTAATTCAGCTGCGCAGTCATGTCAAGACTCCTTTCATTAGGGAGGAAAGCCTTTTTTCCAAATCCCCACAACAGTGGTTTTTTTTTTTTTTTTGGTTTGATCCCCATACCAATAACTGACCAAGGAGAATGGCCAGTCATGACTCATCCCTGGGCCCGAGCCTGACTGCTCTCAGTACATTGCTGCCTGCTCCCTGAATGAGGCCAGGGGTCCATCAGCAGAAGGAAGAGAGCAGGAACCAAGGGGGCCCACCATCCCAGGGATATGCACGCCCGCAGAGTGCTGTCTAACAGCATCTGAAACGACAGCTCTGTAACCGATTCCGAGGTACCTCCTGCCACATGGAGCTGCTGCACCCCAGGACCACTCACTGTTGGCTCCGGACAGACTTCCCAGCTGCCCCTCAGCGGGGCCTGGGGTGGCAGCCCACGAGGTGGGGAGCGCTCTCACTGGGGCTGAGCGGAGTGTCGTTGGAAGAGGCGTTTGACTCTGGCCTTATCAGTGCCACCCAGAGGGTGCATGCAGTAAACACTTCTGGTCAACTTTGAAAACAGCATCTTTTATAAAGAAGGAGAAAGTTCTCATCGTGGGCCAAATATGCACCTTTGCAGACAACGACCTTTCATATTTGCTGGAATTTTCTTTGAAATTACTTTCTACATTTCCCCCAAAATAACCTCTTTCACCAAAAGTAAAGCACAGGGCCCCTAATTTACCTCTCCTGAGCAGAGCAGGGCTGAGTCACAGACAGGGGACCCCGGCCCTCACTGCTGAGTGGCCTCAGGACATCAGGCCAGAGCTCGCTGTCACACAGATCAGTCCCTACTGGTGTCACAGGCAAGCTCTGGACATTGAGTGGTAGGTCCTAAATTCATTATTTTATTATTTTATTTTATTCTACTCTATTTTTAATCCTCACCTGAGAATATGTTTATTGATTTTAGAGAGAGAAGAAGGCAGATGGGAAGAGACAGAGAGGGATAAAATTGATCAGCTACCTCCCGTACACATCCCGACCAAGGATCGAACCCGCAACCTAGGTACGTGCCCTGATGCAGAATTGAACCAGTAACCTTTTTAGTGTATGCAATGACACTCCAACCAACTGAGCCACTTGGCTAGGACTATCCTGATTATTGAACCAATTGTTCCTGTATCAAGGTTTTTGTTGTTGTTGGACCATGACCACGCTCATTTCTTCAGAAAAGTAGAGTGCTTAGCCTGGAAGTTCAGTAGAATAGGCGTGTCGACGAAAATCAAGTGAGTGCCCTTTCCGTCTGAACATCCACAGCTAAGAGCAGCCTGGTCCCCATTCGTCAGGAACTGGATGAAAAGCTGCAGAGGACTCCTGCTGCAGAGGCGCACCGCACACCTCTGCACACCGAGGGCCGGGTGGGCGGGCTGGCATGTTCAAACTAGTAAGGAGGCAAGTGGCAGGGAACACCTCTTGTTCTGACTTCAGGCTGCAGCACTGTGTCTCTTCTCCAGGGCCACTCCTGCTTTCTCCGTGTGGGTCAAAGTCTCCGGGAGTATTGCCCCTCAGCAGGTTCGTGGTGCCCTTTGTACAGGTGATGTCCTCCTTGTATCGGAACCAAAGGGTGTTTTACATGTGAATACAACACTGCAATGTGTCCAAGATGTTCCTGATAAATCCTAATGAACCGTCTTGTGGGTCAGTAGTCAAGGAGGAAGTTAAAGGGGGAAGTTTTGATTTGGGTAGATATTAAGAGCTTTTTGTGGCCCATTTGGTTAGATGGGTGACTCCACAGGTCACTGCTCTGGGCTGTGGAACAGTGGAAGACAAAGTGCTATACACGGTGGAGTCACCTTCACTCTGTTGTTGCTTTCACTGGGGTCCAGCAGGACTGGGCTAAAGTGCTCAGACGCCAGGACGTCTGAGGAAGTCTTCTGCATGCTGATCATCCACACGGAAAGCTAAGAGAAGTTCTGGAAACAGTCTATTTTCTCTTCCTCTCTGGCGCCCACCCCCATCGCTGCCCCCTCCAAGTAACGCTCCGTCTGAAATTGCCCTCACGGCCTTGTAAGTCACACAGTGCCCTGCTGGCAGGTCTAAGATAATTTCTCTAATTGAAAGAGAGAGGTTATCTGATTTGCCTAGTTTAGCATGAGTCACTTGTATGCCTGAGAAAGCGAAGTCCTAGCCTCTGATACTGATACTAGAAACTGCACAGAAGGAATGAGTCCCTAGAGTTTAGAACACACATCAGGAATCTCACACCAGTGGTGCCCTGGCTGTTCAGAGGCATGAAACAAGATTCAAAACTCAAAGGTGAAGGTGATTGTGGAAATCCCAGATTCTATTAGAGAGGTGTTTTGAGTACATAACATATTGAACTTTAATATTATGAGCTTGAAGGAAAATATTTCCTTTGTAGTAGGAAGCCTCTGTTATGTTTTGGAGAAATTTTCCTGTAAATCATTTAACAGCTGCTTTACTCTGAGGCCTTGAAATTCTATCCTTTCAATTAGGTACATATGCTTTTGTTTTTGGAAACTTCACATGCTTCTCTTTACCAAAATATCAGCTCCTGGGGAGGATTTAATAGAGGCTGGCCCGACAAGAATTGTTTTTGAGCAACCCTTCTGCATATCTTTAACTATATACCATGCCCTGTGTAACACCCTATGTAAGATTATTACTAAAAATCCAAAGAGCCAATCTATACAGATAATGTTTTGTGACAAAAGAAAATGTTAACCATCTCTTAACATAGGAGCATCTTGTATCTGTGATTATAGTAGATGCTAGTAGTAGTATAATTGTGTGTGTGTGGAGTGGCAGGGTGGAAAGGCATGATGGGACAAAGTCTTGGCAGAAATATGACCAGTGGAAATTCTCTTCTGTACAAGGCAGATGGCAGATTCCCTTGACAGAGGTGAGACCCTAAATAAACACCTGTGAAAGGATATAGAAAGAGAATAGCTTGCTCAGTGCCACATTACTGAAATGAACCTGCAGTTCTCCAAGTTTGTTCCACACAAGTGTCATCTGGAATGTACATGTGCTAGAACAAAGTCATAATGTGTTGATTTCTAGAAGGGGCTCTTGGACAAGCAGCATTAAAAAATAGGGAAAAAATGAGGCTGGAAATTCACCAAGCATGACTCTAGGTCACGGGGCAGAGTTATTGAAATCCCCTAAGAGAGGAAGATTCCCATTGAGCAAGAAGGAAGTGGCCATGGAGAGGGAATGGTAAATGGCTTTGCTCTGAGGGGCCATCTGGCCCTGGTCACAGTGTCTCACTGGCCGGGAATGTAGGAAGGCAAGTGGCTGGCTTGGAGTAGAGTAGGTCAATGAAGGAGTTTTCAAGGAGATTTTCCACGCCAATTTAGAGAGAATACAAGCAGGAGAAGGGCCATTTATGAAAACTTTTGCAGTAGATAGAAAGTTTGCAAGTCATTGGGGAACTGGTTTCGATTTTGGCTAATTCGGTGATTTTGATGAAGAATAACCCCTCATTTTTGGAAACTATATGTATTGACATATTAAAAGTCAATACATAAAATAGCTCTGAACCACTCAGACCATTGGAGATAAAAAAAATCTCAGCTTGATTACTGAAAGCAATTACATTGGAGGGTCTGACCGAGATGAGGTTAATTAGACTTGCTAACACTCCTCCGTCCATCTTCACCTTGATTCACACCCCCCACTACACACACAGGTTCAAAACTCCATAGAATGGCACATAGAACTCAGGAGAGCCCTATAATTATGATCTCAGTTTTTCTAAGAAGGATACGACTCAGGAACAGCCACATCGAAGGGCTGCCTTAGGCAAGGCAGTGAGAGGTGGAGGAGTGTGAGCACAGAGCTGGTGTGTACTCTGCACTAGCTCATGTTTGCAGAGCACGCTCTCACCCATGATTCATGTCACGTTAGTTTGGGCATGGAGAGAAGAAACAGAGTAAATTTCTAGTTGTTACAGATTTTAAATAGAGAAGAGTTACTCAAACAGAACTAATGGATTTCATCCACTACTGAGTAGGGAGTAGAATAGGACAAAGGAATGACTTATATGAGTGAAGTTCATCTATTTTTTTTAAATCTGCACTTTTTCACATGGTAGCACATATAGAAAATTATATTATTCATACATGATAGTAGTAAAAAAAATGGATGAGTCTGCTTGAAGTTGAAGAAGCAACTAACTTAGGGCTCTTATTTTACAAGCTTCCGAATCTCCGGTTCACCTGCACCCGTTCTGGGTTCCCCCGTGTGCACTGCTGTGGGGTCTGGACAAACCGACCTAAGGCATCTGCTACCTATTTTCTTTCTCTACTTGAAACAATTATAGGTTTTCTTCTTTAATTTGTTAACGGAAATAATTCTCTGATGCCAGCTCAGTGTCCTACAATTCAATTTAATTCTGCCACTAACTACCTCATGTTCGTGTGTACCCCACATTTGTGTGTACCCCAAGGTTAAGGGCTACGTGCCACAGACTGTCCTCCCTTTAGACACCAGTCACGAGCCGCGTTGCCTTGACTCCCCACTGTGGATTCCATAACCCATACAATGACTCAGCGAACTCAGGAAAGCTCTGCGATCACCATCACGGTTCTGTTATAAAGGATACAATTCAGGGGCAGCTAAATGCAAGAGCTGCCTTGCAAGGTGGCAGTGGCAGAGGCGTGCAAGCACAGAGCCCCCCCCCCCCCCCGTGCACTCTCCAGGCCTGCCACCGTCCCAATGCAGTGATGTGCTCACCCGCTGGAAGCTTCCCGAAACTCGCTGTTCAAGAATGTTTTATCACAGTTTCATTAAATAGGCATGATCGATGAACTCACTGACCATTGGTAATGGAACTATCTCCAGCCCTCCTCCCGCAGGCTTCCCTCCCCTGCCCAGCGGTGCAGCAGGGGGACTGAAAGTTGAAACACACTCCAGTGCTTAGTGTTTCCAGCCATCAGCTCCCATGCTGAAGGTGTAGTAGAAAGGGGCTCATTGTGAATAATAAAAGACATTCCTATCCCTCAGGAAATTCCAAGGATTTTATGAGCTCTGTGCCAAGAACACGGGACAATGACCAAATATATTTTTATTATACCACAATGAGGTAAATTACATTAATAGATTTAATGTTAAACAATTCTTGCATTGTAATATTTTATATACTATTTAATTTGGCCTACTACTGTTTTGTTTGGGTTTTTTTCCATAGTGAGAATGGCCTATGATTTTCCTTGTTCATCTTGTCATTGTCTAATTGTACCAGCAAGGACCAGTGGGGCTTATTAAATTAGTCGAGATATTGCCCTATTTTTCTAGTCTTTGGAAAAGTTTAAGATTAGAATAAGTACTTTGACTGTTTTGTTTTACATATAGAACTGTCTGAGCTGGTGTTTACCTCTTTTAATTATGGGTTTAATTATAATGATAATTATAAGATCATTCGGATTTTCTCTTTCTTCTTGAGTCTGTTTTGGTAAGTCATTTTTTTCTAGGAATTTGTCCACATCATTTAGGTTTCAAACATGTGGACATAACATCATAATGCTTTCTTCTTGTATTTTAGTATTTGCTGCAATTGCACATATGTCCTTCTTTTCCATTTTATTGTGTTTTATTTTTGTCCAGAGTACCAAGGCAGAAGCCACAGATGACACTTCAATGGAGCTTTTGCTGTGAGGTCTAGAGAAACTATTCTTCTTTCACATACTTAGGGACGGCACTAATTCCCACCATCTGTCCCCATACCCCTCCTCAGCCCACGATGTGATACTTGTTTTGATATACCTTCTCTGCTTGGGGTGCAGGGAAGTTCCAGAGACTTCTACTTGGCCTTCCCAATATGATATGTGGAGTTCTTACCCCACAAACTGAAGACCCAATGAGGTTTTGCTAACTGTCAAGTACACTAATCCCAGTTATGCAGAGAAAAAAATCAGTCAACATAAACAGAACAAAAAGTAATTGTAATGGTGCAATTTGTAGATAGGACTTTAGAAACACTATTCTAAATATACTCAATAATTGAAAGAAAAGCTAAATCTATTGAAAGAACAACACACAAAG